GCACAGGTTGATCTATAAATAAAGAAAGCTTGGTAAGTTAACCGAAACATTAAAAGTAAGGTACATGAAACAAGTTATTACAACAAAAGTATTATCCAATATTACTATGTGGTAGTGTGAGATTGTAAATTTTTTGGCCATTTCAACGTTAGGAACAATTAACATTATTATCACAAAAATAAGCAATGCACAGAGCCATAAAGAATAAAATAAAGAACGCACTACAACAGACATTAAATACTACAAAAATATCGACACAAACAGAGTAATCCTAAAAATTTGTTGTAGGTACCTAAATTAGGAATTTTGAAGGCAGCAAAGAAAAGTACAAAAGTAACTGATCAGAATAGGTCTAGTTGAGTAAAAAAGATAATCATAATGAAAAGGGCTACCTACTTGTTTTTTTTTTATTTTTATAAGGACACATTAAAGTACTCATCAGTTGAATAAAATGCCTGCAACAGCAGTGCATCTTTAACTGTTTTTCTGAACTTTGAGAGGTCAGAGATTTGCTTTAAAAATGAAGCAAGAAGTAAATTTTAATGCTATCATAGATAATGGATTTTTTAACGAGAGTTGAATGAGGAATCGGAAGAGGTATATTAGTATTTTGTCGAGTAGGACGATTGGCTTGATGTGCAGGAAATATGGAAATATTTTTGTGGATCAGACTTACTGTCTCCAGGATAAATAAGCAAGGTAAGGTAAGTATTTTATGAGTAATGAAAAGAGGCCTACAATGGGATCTAAGAGGTGCCTTGGCCATATAACGGATGGCGCGTTTTTGAAGTTTGAAGACTGAATCAGCAAGATAATGACTGCAACAACCCCAGCATGGTAATCCGTAGGAAAGATGGGAATGGATTACAGTATAGTATGTTGTTCTTGCTACAGGTGTACCTAGGTTTTCAGCAACTGTCCTGATGCAATAACAACCAGATGCTAATTTTTTGTTGAGAGAGATTATGTGATTTTGAAACTTTAGGTCAGCATCTATGTGTAGGCCAAGAAATTTGGTAGATAAAGTACTCTTGATGGAAAAGTGGTCAAATGCTATATCATCTATGTTACACCGGAATCCAAGTACCTGAGTTTTGTTAAAGTTGAATAGTAGACCGTTCGCATCACACCACTGTTTAATTAATCCAACGTCTCTAGATATAATCTCGATTAGATCATCTGTGTCTTTTTTGTGCCAGGTAATTGTGGCATGGTCGGCAAAAGCAGCAATAACTCCGGATATATCAAGGTGCAAAAGATCATTGATATAAATAAGGAACAAAATTGGACCTAAAACTGAGCCTTGTGGTCCACCAAAGTCAATAGATTGTGTAGAGGAACTCTTGCTGTTGGCTGAGACACTTTGTGTTCTGTTAGTTAGAAACGAGCGAAACCATCTCAAGACATTTCCCGCAAAACCATACACCTCTAACTTCTGCAGCAGTATCCCGTGACTAACACAGTCAAATGCCTTTGAGAAGTCACAGAACACTGCCGCAGTAGCTTCCCCATCATTATAGTGTTTGAAAAGTTGCTGAATTATTCGAAGCATAGCATCATGCGTGTTTTTCTTTGGTAAAAAGCCAAATTGTGCGGTGTTAAAAATATTGTGCTCTGTCAAGAAGTCCATCATACGTTTTTTGACCAGTTTCTCGATAACTTTAGAGATTGTTGATAGTAATGATATTGGCCGATAATTTGATGGATTTTTAGTATCACCTTCTTTGTGTATCGGAACAACTAGAGCTTCCTTAAGGCTAGATGGAAAAGTACCCTTAGAAAAAGATTTATTTATAGCACTAGCTATGACTTTTAAGGCTTGATCTGGCAATTCTTTTAGTATTTTTGAAGATATACCATCAGATCCTGCCGCGTTTTGGTTTTTAATTGATCGAATCACGGTTTTAAGTTTATTGATATTTGTTGGTATAAGTTCAAATGTTTCAGGAACACGCACACTATTTAGATATCGCAGGGGATTGATGTCTATTTTTATAGTTTGTGTTAAATTAGATGCAATGGAGCAGTAGAAATTATTTAAAACTTCTGGTTCGATATCAATTTGGTTAGGTTTGGAAGTGTTTTCCCCAGCTAGTTCACGAACTATGCGCCATGTCTCTTTCGGTTTATTTGGCGAGTTATTTAAACGATTCGAGTAAAATAAGGATTTTGCTTCACGAATTATTTTTCTATAATTTTGACGATAGGTTAAAAAGCAGTTGTTTATGAATAAACTGTTATTAAAGTGTTTACGTAACATATTGAGAGATCTTAAATTTGCAGCTGATATTTTGATGCCTTGGGTCACCCAGTTTTTTTGTTGTCTTTTTTTTCGTAGAGGTCGCAATGGAAAACAATTATTTATAATTTTACTTATGTTGGAATGTTTGTTGTTTCAAAAGTTTTTATTTGCTAGTTTTGTTGAGTCTAGTTTCTTTTTTACGTTCTAATTGACTGAAAAAAAAATGCAAACCTACGAAAAAACACCAGGTAGCCGTACCTACCACAACTTATAATTGAAGAACAGGTAGGGTGGCCGAAGCGGTGCGTGTAGTGCAAGATGGTATGAGCAAAAAACAGGCGTGCAGGCTTCATCAAATTCCACGAAGAACTCTTACTAATAGATGCCTTGGTAGGCATACGAAACCTATAGGTCATACAACCATCCTGAGTTCGGAGGAAGAAGCCATCATTGCAAGAACCCTTGGCGTCGTTGCAGATTGGGGCGTTCCATTTATAATGAGCCAATGTGCCAAAAAAGAATATCATTCAACGAGTCATTCAAATTTTCTTAGTAATGTTACAGAATATTTCTAAGGTTTTCCGAGTTTGTTATTCTCATTTTTCTCTCTGATGAAGTATTTTGTACAATAATAGTATATTGTGTATTTAGGTGGAAAAGTGACACATTCTCGGCTGACGGTGTAAGTTGACGGGCGAGGCGAAGCCGAGGCCGGCAAACACCGAAGGCCGAGAATGTGCTTTTCCACCGAAATACACATACTATTTTTTCTGCGATCGGTTAAATACCTGTTAAATGTTTGTCTTTTAGTTTCAATTATTCAGCAATATGAGAATCACTTTCCCGGCCTAGGCTGGAAAAGTGTTTCCTGTATTGTTATTCATTGATTCCTTAGCAACTATCGAAACATAATTGAAATACCAGAATATTGAGTTTTGCCACCTGTCAACCGGTCAAAAATGCTGACATTTCTTGTCAATCGCAGAAAAAATCTATTTTTTGAAAAAAAGGGTAAAATCTTATTTAAAAATTTAAAAAAAAAAATCTTATATATAATTTTTATCCGAGGATTCCATATCTGGGGTTACTTTGTCAGTCTAGCCATTTATACGCGTTTTAAAAGCATTTTTAACAGGGTGACTTTGTCACCCTATTCCTTATTTTTTTAATTATTCCCTAGGGATGCTAGGCAACTGGTGTTTTGGCTGCGCAAACAAAATGGTAACGTCGGTATACTTGATTTTTTTCCAGCCAAAAATCGAAAAAACAAGAAAGTTACAGAGCAAAATATGTCCAAAAGGTGACAAAGTAGCCCCGTTTTACGGTACTGTATAGTAAGTTTTGAAAAACATCATATACTGTCACCAAATCGACTTATAGAGACCCGGGGCTCAAGCCCCCCCAAAATCAACAAGCTACTTGCGCCCCTGTTGCTACCATCAGCCAGAGGTGTTGCCATCCAGAAGCATATAAGATATACAGGTGCAAAGATATATAATATCCTAAGATTGCAGTTTAGATCAGCCTCTTATAAAAAAGTAAAAAAGAAAATTATCCCATGGACCATGGACTCCACCATGGATCATTAGAAATAATATCTCCTCTGATTTGTATAAAAACTGAACTCACTATGCAAGTTGATGTAACAGTCAGGTTATCTGACAATCAATATAGATAATACCACATTAATACTTACTTACTTACTTAATAAAAAAATTCAAGACTTCAAGTTAGTTAATTATAAATAAGATGAAGGGATGCACACACAGATTGTATAAAATCCATTGTGCACTTCCAAAATGAAAGCAAATAATATAATTATATCTATGTATTTTTTATCATATTTAGATGGTCCTACGAATGTACATTTCGAGGTACATTTCTTGCTTGAATATATAAAAAAATAAAAAAATTCTACTTATTAAAGCATTTGTAGGAAAGTATCAACTTGTTAATGTTAAATAATTAGGTAGTGACTAATTAATTATAAAGACCGAGATAAAGACATACTTATTCGAGTCTCACCTGTCTATGTAAGTACCTGATACCTACTTTCTTCAAGTAATTGACTATTTCACCAACTCTTGAAAGTAGGTAAGTACAATGTTAAGTACCTACTTAAGAAAAAAAAAGTCTCTATGCAGTGAAAAGATTTGGCTGGAGCTTTCCTGCATAATCACCTGCAAGACATGGACATGGACTTTTTCGGATACAGGGGTGTACACCTACAGCATTTTTAGTTATATTCACCTCTGAGATCTATGTTTAGACTACTTAAATATAGGAATGGTTCCTTGATATAAATAAATATAAAACAACTCTGTGTATCTCTGAACATTAAACATGTTAAAAAATCCAGTCATTGTGGATAAAAGTACATAAACACTTGTGAAAGTACACAGAGAGACGAGAGTGCACCCATATGTGTTTAAAATTGTTTACATTAGAGCCCTGAAAGAAAATCAATAAAAACCATTTCCAGTCACAAAAGAGAAAGTTAACAAAGCCCTTTTCCTAGGAGTGGAATATTGATAGTCAGGAAATAGAAATGTTTAACGATTGTGCACTAGGTCACAATATCCTACATTCTCTTTTCTGACATCCGAGAAATGGCCCCAAAGAGCCATTTCTCCTGAGAGATGTTTTGTTTAAATTTTGCTCTTTGTTCTTAAATCATAATTGGCATGCAGACACTTCAATTTAATAAATAAAATATTACATTAAATTAAAGGAAATATTGATTTGAAATGCAACATACCTTTTGGAAGGCCCTAAATTCCAAGAGAAGATCACTGAATCCAAAAAAAAAATAGAAATCACAGACAATCGCACTGTAGAGCTACACAAATAAAACTAGAACATTTTTTGCTCTAAAATGGGAGCGGCTAAAGAAGTCTTTTTCTTTTGGGATGTTTTTATTTTGCACCCAAAACAAATAATAATCCTTTTTGGCAGCTGGTAACAGGATCCTCTCGCGAGAAGAGTCCCACGAACTAACGGATTTTTACCGACTTCGATTGGTTACAGCGCAGCGGACAAGCCCACCTAGTGCAAGCAAGTCTGCCCTGGCTCTGAAACACACACCACCTCGTGGATCTGGGTCTGTTCCAACTACAAAATAAATAACATAATCTATAGTAGCTCTTTATCATAGGCAACCAGTTATACCCTTATTTATAAAAGACCCCGCACGAAAAGATAGGAAAAGTGGTACCAGTCAAATCGTCTAAAATTTTGGTATGATATAGTATAATAGGTTAGTGATAGTATATTTTATGTTTATTTATAATTTGTTATTTGGTCCACAAGGTCAGACAGGACTGACAGTGGTCAGTGAAGGAAAAAAATTAAAGTTTTATTCAGGTAGGTTGGTAGGGTAGGTAGGTATACCTACTTAAGTGCCTAGGTATAAGCATTAGAACAGATATTTACCTTATCTTCTATCTTTATCTTTTGCCGTTTTCTATTCTTAGGATATAGGCCTCTTTCAAATTTGACCATTGTCTTCAGTTTTGCGCAGCTCGGTAGGTACCAATTTAAGCCTGCGACCTTCTTTATCTCGTCGTACCATCTTTGTTGGGGTCTTCCAGCACTTCTCCTCTCTTCCCAAGGTCTCCATCTAGTGATATACCCGCTCCAGTCTTCTGTATGTCTGGCCATTTTAGGGAACCAATTCTTTTCATTATGTCGGAGACTTTGTTTCTTTCTCTTATCCATGTATTTGTTTTGTGGTCTCTCAGGGAAATTCCTAAAATTCGTCTTTCCATGGCTCTCTGATGTACTTCCAATTTATGTTTATTTTTTCTGGTTGTTACCCAGGTTTGCAACCATACGTGACAACAGGCAGTATACACTCGTTATAGACTTTTGATTTTAAAGTCATTGGGGTATTCATGCTGAAGTCTGAAGATGTACTTTAATTTGCCGTAAGCCGCCCATCCTGGTCTAATTCTCCTATCAATTTCCATTTTTTGATTTTGTTTGCCCGGTGTTTATAGCTTGGCCAATGTATATATGTATGTTTCTGTCTTTTTTATTGTGCTGTCATGGATAGGTATTGTTTGGTCTGCATCTGGTGTATTTGTAATAAACTGGCTCTTCGTGTAGTTTATGTGTACTTAATACTACATCCTGTAGTTCTTCCAACATATCTATCAATTCCTGTTTGTCTTCTGCAAATACTACAATATCGTCGGCAAATCTTAGATTGTGCAAGCGTTCACCATGTATGTTCAATCCTTTGTTTTCCCATTGTAGCTTTTTAAAAATATCCTCGAGCACCAAAGTGAATAGTTTTGGAGATATTACGTCCCCTTGCCGAACTCCTCTTTTGGCGTTTATCCTGTTAGCTGATTCATGAAGTCTTATCGACATTGTCGAAGTCCTATAGATGTTTTCAATAAGGTTTATATAACGTTGATCCACTCTGGCATTTCTCAAGGATTTTATTATTGCCCAGATTTCTACTGTGTCGAAGGCTTTTCGGAAATCGATAAAAGCCTTCCAGGTTTATATTATATTCTGTAGCTTTCTCGATCATCTGCCTTACTGTATATAGATGTTCTGTCGTGCTATAATGGCTTCGGAACTCAGCCTGTTCCTTTGGTTGGTAAACTTCGAGTTTTCGCTCTAATCTGTTGGTGATTATTCTGGTGAATAATTTATATATCTGTGATAGTGAGCTTATCGGCCGGTAGTTTTCGAGATCAGTCGGGTCACCTTTCTTGTAGATCAGAATAACTACAGCATTCTTCCAATCTTTGGGCATGCTTGGGTATATGTTCTGCTGTTAGGCACTTATTAAATAGTTTCACTAGTTCTTGTCTCGTTTTAGTATGGCTTTCCTTGAGCATTTCAGGCTTTGTCTTCTCTTTTCCTTGTCACTTGTGTTTGCTATTTTAGATTCGTACCAGATCTCTATAGAAAGATTCCGCAACTTTTAATATCTGTTGTCTGTCTTCTACTATATGTGGTTTTTCGCATCTTTTATTTTTATCTTAGGTGTGTTATGTCTTTTAAATATATTTAGTCCTTTGTTCTGTTCTAATTGGGATTGCACTTTTTTCATTTGATGCTTTAGTACATCCTGTTTCGCCATTTTTCTTGCTGTTTTATTGGTTTCTGTGTATTCAATAGTGTCTCTTTTACCCTCGGTTATTAGTTTTCTCCTTTTCTCTAGTAGCTGTTTCATTTCTATCGACAGTTTGTCCGGCGTTTTCTCTAGGAGGCCTATTATCTGTTCTGCTGTTTCTTTTATAATTTTTGTTATTCTCCTATTGTTATCATCTAATGACTCTTCTGTTTTTCTGGATTGTTGGAAAAGTTTTCTTTCAGCCTTTGTTTGTATGTTTCCCTTCTTTCTGCTATCTTTTCTCTACTTCCTCTCTTCGTCGTTTGTTTCATCTTTGTTTTTCTTTCCTTTTTTGTGTTTATGAACAGTTTGCATCTTACCATCCTGTGATCACTTCCGGTGTTGAATTGATTGACTACATCTACGTCTTGGATGATGTGTTTATGGCGGGAGATTATAAAGTCAATCTCATTTTTGGTTTGTCCATCTGTGCTATTCCATGTCCATTTACGTTTCTTTTTCTTTTGGAAGAAAGTGTTCATCAGATAGAGTCTTTCTCTTTCTAGGAAGTTTGCTAACATTCTTCTCCTTTCATTTCTGCTGCCGTGTCCGAACTGTCCTATGCGTGTTTCCGTTGGTTCTGCTCCTCTGCTCATTTTTGCATTAAAGTCTCCTCCTAGAATAGTGTGCGTCGTTGGGTTCTCTCTTATTGCTCTTGCTATGTCTTCGTATACCGTTTCCACCTCGTCATCTTCATGTGAGGAAGTTGGAACATAAGCTTGTATATATTTTAGCGTTATATTTTTATTTATATTAATTACAACATAAATTACTCTGTCAGATATGGTTTTCAGGATTTTCAAGTTTGTCGATAGTTTTTTACCTATTTATTAATAGGTATTCCAACTACTCCATTGTTACCCATATAGCCAAATAATATTTTTTGAAGATTAAAAAAATATTTTTTTTCGGATCAAATATATTTTTAAAACATCCAAATATCCATAAAACATATTTTTAGGACATTTTTTGAACATTCTGCGGTAACGAATCGATATTTTTTGAATATCCATATGATATTTTTCAAATGTATTAAAAACATTTTTAGAAAGTATGAAAATGTTTTTTGAACATCATCATCGAAAAAAAAATAATGCGGATTCAGAAACGATGTATTAAAAATGTTTGTATCTGTATGATATTTTTGAGAATGTTTTAAAAACATTTTTAAAATATCCAAATATATTTTTAAAACGTCTTTTGGATATTTTGTGGAACATTTTCAAAAAAAATATTAATAAAATATTTTTCACACATTGAAAAAACTAGGTATATTGGTTTTGTGAACATCAAAACGATATTTAAAAAACATTATTAAAATATTTTAAAAACATCATTCCAACATTTAGGATGGTAATTTTTATGGGTAGGTAAGTACCTATTGGGTAATTAAAACTCAGAATTAAACTCAGAAATATTTTTATTTGTGCATATGCATCTGATTCAAGTTATTTGCCTCTCAATTAAGCAGTTCCTGACTGGTTATGGCTTATTATTGTCCTTCGAGCTGCGCCTGCTTTTACACAGCTCCTTTCTTCTTCCTACAATAAGAACTAATTTGTATAACTATAAACAATCAATATCATTTTTATAGATACAGGGTGTTCCAACGAGGATTGATCAAAGGCTTCTTTTTTTCTTCTTTCTTTCTTTTCACTCTCTCTATTATTGAGAAAATCCATAATACCTATCTCATGTATTTTTTCCTGCAGAATTCAATTATTGTATCAAAAAATCTTTGAACCAAAAATATAGGACACGCCATGGATGATGGCTATCTTGGATTCTCACAAAAATACAGGCAGATTCAAAAATAAGCTCCTGGTTTTAAGTCCTCGTTGGAAAACCCTGATATAAATACCACTTACCGTGAACTTCAATCGAAATTGCAATTATTCTCAGAGCCAAATAACGTACACTCGCACACAAACCTCACAAAAAAATATATTGTCTTCACTCTAGTCTAGTCTAGCTGAACCCGACCCAGACTGAAACTACGCCACGCCGGCGTCCAGTCCCCCTCAAAAAGTAGCATAAAACTACCAGTGTTGCCAGAACCGTTTTTATAATTGGAAGCTTTCATGGGTTTCCAAGGGTTGTATTTTCGAATTCATTCGCGAGTAGATTTCGTACACGAAAATTGATTGACAACAATGTAAATTAAATGGGAAGCATTCGAAATCTTATCAAATTTGGTATGCGAGAATATTCGAAAATACTACCTCAGGTATGGCCATTTTTACTTTACCGTTATAATGGTTACTAGGTGACAACACTGCGAATTAATTCAACCGGTAGCAGAGCAGGTATACCTATGGCGCCTAGAAACAGCAAACAACGACAAGTTAAATCAAATGAAAAGCTTTGTTTTGGTTCGAAAAAAGGATGGTTCTAGAACGGTCCAAAACAATCGCACAATTTGTCATTCCAAAAGTTAACTTTTAGTTGGTCTGTTAAAATAGTTGTATAATACCCGCCCTAAGTCTCGAGCCAGACTTTAGAGACCGAATGTTTTAAAAATGTTCAACAAATGTATATTTCTTTTATTATGTTTTTCCGATGTTCAAAAAATATCCATTTAAAAATATTATTTTGGATATGTTTGTAAAACTAATGTATTTTTTGAGTACATTTTAAAAACATTTTTTGAACATTTCCAAACCAATGTGTGGTCACAAATGTTGTTTGAATCTTTTAAAAATATTTTATTAGCGTTGTTCAAAAAATATCCATTGTTGGATCAAAAAAAAATATCCCAAAAATATTTTGTGCTATATGGGTATCATCATCCTTCCCCCTGTAGAGCTTAGTATGCCCGGAATCCAGGTCCAGATGGAGGTATTGTTCTCCTTTTTTCCTTGTTTCGGCTAGTCCTACAATGTCCCAGTTCTTTTTCTCCAATTCGTATTCTAATTCAACCAGACATTCCTTGTTGTAG